AGGTAGCAAAGTTAGACCGAAATTTCCGATCGTCTCCTCTACAAAATAAGTAGTAGAACTTATGCATGAGAGTTTGGATTGTAGATGATGTACATGTTAAGGAAGCAGTTCTTGACAAATAATGAAAGAGAATAAAGAAAATTTCCAAATTATTTGAAAAAGTAGCATTTGAAAGAGTTCTAAACTATTTTGTCACTCTTGACGTGCCATTGAAATTAAATTCGATATACTGATTGTCTAACTGCTAACTTTCACCCCATAAGCCATTACAAGTATCAAATTTTTTAATTTTGTTCTTTATTTGTCTGTTTTCACTATTCGTTACATTTTCCTACTGGTTCTAGTTACCATATATTTTTCTTTCTATACTTTATTGTTGCCTTCTTGGTTCTCTAGTATCCCTTCTTTGCCTCATTGTTGTATGCAAATACCGCTATTTCAGTTACTGTTACTTTTGACATCTTAATTTTCAATTCTACCATTCAACTCTTCGACACGTAAGATCAAATGTAGAGAGAAGGTGAAAAAGAACCTTACCTTTACCTTTTTTTTTTTAAATTTATATTAATCCTCTTACCATTTATGTTGATTTTTTATTCGAAGTACACGTAAGAGAGGCCATGGTAGCCTTACCTCCATTCTTACACAAGAAAGAGAGAGAAATGTTTAAAAGCATTAAATTAGAAGGTGCTACCTTCTTTACAATGTTTGAGAAATTGAGTCCTCGTTTGTTTCTTATTTTTCATCCATAAAAATGAAAAATATGACCGTTATCAATCAAATCAAGCCATCAAATTTGAATTTATATCTCTTTCGTTGGGCCCAATAACGACTATATTTTTCATTCTCATTCTACAATAATGAGAATCAAACGGACCCTGAATCTATAGAAGTTACTTTTAAATCAGACATAAGGAATTTGTAGTTTTGTCCATTTGTAAGATGGCCCATAGTCGTCCATTCACTTTATTGGGCAGGATATTGTTATCGAGTACGTGTGAAGTCCATCATTAGCTAATCAATCCGCCACTCCATTGCTTTCGCTGATAATGTAGAATATTTTTGGAGGAA